AACACCTTTAGGATCAACCAGAATGGAGGTTGTGAGCCAGAGCCACAAAATTCCCACAGACACACTCCAAAATCTTGTAGAAAGCTTCCCAGAAGAGTGGACGCTGTTATAGCTGCAAAGAGGGATCAACTCCATGTTAATGTCTATGGATTTAGAATGGGACTGGACAGTCCAGCTCCTAAAAAAACTGGACATGTGTGACTGGACAGTCCAGCTCCTAAAAAAAAAGCCCACAAAATAATTAAAAATCTCATATGATGGAAGCCTCTGAAGGACATGGGGTTGGACTTGTGAGATTACACACTCTGCATCTCCCTCTCACACAGGTGCATCAACTGATGACAAGGCCAGAATTCCAGGATGAACATGATCTTCTGAATCCCACAAACACGCCAAACTCTCACACCCAAGGTCGTAGCTAGAAACCTTTCAAGCAGCACTGAAGCCACATGTTCCTGTCTAATCCCCACTGCACTGGGCAATAAAGCAGACTCTGCAAACCTTAAAGTTGAACTGGCTAGAAAAGCCACTTGTAAACTCCTTCAGGCTTTGCTTTTTCTGGTTGTTCTACTGTAACAGCATTTCAATGACTGTTGGATCACAGCAGAACTGTTCAAAAACCAACGTATGACTGCTATATGATTCCATATGACCATATTTGTTGAATTTAAATGGACTTAGGATCATGACATCATGTTCCCAACTTTCCATTCCAACCAGACATCAAGACATGGAGTGTCAAGTCATTCCCAGGCATATTTTGCTACTTTCACAGGATGTTCTGCAGGATTAGGCAGTTTGAAAACAATGCTACACCGCTGTGTCCTTCCTATTGGTTACTGGATCCAAAGTGATGAGCTCAATGAAGTGAAATTGCAAGACTGCATTAACTCAACTGGATAAGTGCTGGACAAACCAAGAACCAATCAAAATGAGCTTAAATTTTAACAAGCTACTGTAACCTAAACTTGCTTTGTGCAGTGGAGGTTAGCCATGAGCTGCAGAGAGACCATTCAGTGCTTATCTTTTCCTGTAAAATCTCAAGAATTGAATGCATTTCACTCCATCTCTCTATGACAAATGTCCAGCCTTCGGCAATCATTTAGATAAAACTTGTGCAGTGTGGACACTGGCATCGTCACAGGGTTCTAATGTGAATGTTGTATTCATATGTTGAAAAAACATCATTTCATGCCTCATTTTGGCTGGAAAATAAATAAAAGAAGGACGGTCTCTGACTTTCGAACAGTACTGTTTGCATTTAATATACAGAACGTGGTCCATGCAGCAAGACGATGGCCCTAAGCACACAAGTCGTTCTACCAAAGAATGGTTAAAGAAGAATAAAGTTAATGTTTTGGAATGGCCAGGTCAAAGTCCTGACCTTAATCCTATAGGATGTTGTGGAAGGACCTGAAGAAAGCAGTTCATGGGGGGAAACCCCCCAACATAACAGAGTTGAAGCTGTTTTGTGTGGAGGAATGGGCTAAAATTCCACCAGGCCAATGTGCAGAACTAATCAACAGTTACCGGAAACGTTTAGATGCAGTCATTGCTGCACAAGGGGGTCACACCAGATACTGAAAGCAAAGGTTCACATTCTTTTGCCACTCACAGATCTGTAATATTATATCATTTTCCTCAATAAATAAATGACCAAGTCTAATATTTTTGTCCCAATTGTTTAATTTGGTTCCCTTTATCTACTATTAGGACTTGTGTGAAAATCTGATGAGGTTTTAGGTCAAATTTATGCAAAAATATAGAAAAATGTAAAGGGTTCACAAACTGAAAAGTAAGTACACTACTGGCTTAAGTAACTGGTATTGTCCCCTTTGGCAAAAACAACTTTCTGTAGGCGTTTCCTATAACTGTCTTCCACTTTCTGGCATCTACTAGGAGAAATTTCTGCCCACTCCTCCAAGCAGAACACTTTCAACTGTGCAATGGTTGAGGGGCTTCTTGCACGTTTATCCTGTTTCAAATCCCCCCACAGCATATCAACAAGATTCAGATCTGAGCTTTGACTAGGCCCAGTCCACAAGCCTCAGTTTCTTCCTTTTGGGCCATTCCTTGGTGGATTTACTTGCATGTTTGGGATCTTTATCCTGTTGGAAGGTCCACTTCTTCAGCTTTTTGGCACATGGCCTCACATTCTCCTCAAGCACTCTCTGGTATGAAAGAGAATTCACAGTTGATTCTAGGATTGCAAGTTGGCCAGGTCTTGAGGCAGCAAAGCAGCCCCAAACCATAACATCTCCTCCATCATGCTTTTCAGTTGGTATGAGGTTCTTCTGATCAAATGCAGTCTCTGTTTTTTTGCCAAACATGGCTTCTAGCACTGTGGCCATCTTTGACTCCTCTGTCCACAGCACATTATTCCACAAGTCCTGGTCCTTGCCTAGATATTGATCAGCAAACTTTAGTCTTGCCCTGCTGCCCTTGCCTTATCCTGATGCACCTCCCACGTAGGTCAAATTTGTGCAGTCTCATTATAATGGTGGATGCATGCACTTTGACATCCACAGTGGCAAGAGCTACTTGCAGATCCTGTGATGAAATTTTAGTGTTCTTCTTTTTAAAAAACGTCTTTTAAAACTTCTTTTAGCATCTTATGGTCAACTCTTGGGCTAAATTTGCTGGGGCAGCCTGCCCTGGACATGTTGGCAGTTGATTTAAATCTTTTTTACTTGCAGATGATCATCCAGACAGTGAAGATATGTACTTACTTTTTTTTAAGGAAATTGCATTTCTGTCATTTAAATTGTATAAAGAATGACAAAAATGTTCATTTTGGGTGTCACTTGTTAAATAATATCACCTTTATCTTTTATCTGTCAACACTATTTAAATGACGACTGGATATCTGTATGTCCAAATATGCTGAAAAAGTCTACACTTTTCAAGGGGTGCACTTACTTCTTCACATGACTGTATATATCTGTGTGTATATGTGAAGATCCCACCACTGATCTAACTAACATGCTGTGATTGGCCGTGAGTTGCTGCATGCAAGAGAGGTCCTCCACCCAACGAGGCTAATGCAACCAGACTGACTGCCATTGAGGAGAACTGAGGACGAGCACACTCTCCAAGAGTGTGTGTGTGTGTGTGTGTGTGTGTGTGTGTGTGTGTGTGTAGGATCATGATAGCATCATACATTCGCACAAAGCTCCTAAACTGTTTCGTTATCTGAAAGACCCCCTTGTGTGACTAGACTGGAAAATATCCACAGGGCTTTGGAGAATCTCAGACAACACACACACACACACACACATTTGGCAGACACCTAGGGTTAAACCCATATCACTTCAGGCAGATTCGGAAAAAAAAAAAGCAGCCGTGTAATTCTTATCACACTCATATACGTTACATCAGCTAATTCATCTCCCTCTGGCGCGTCTCTTTTGGCCTGGATTAGCCAACTTAATCTACTCGCACACTAAATTAACGAGAAGCAAAATCAATCCCACGGCAGCAAAAGTACATTCCAGCCAGGGATTCGATTAATCACGGGCTGTGTGTGCTAACGCTCCAATCCAGAGGCGTCTAAAGTCAGAGCCAAATGAAACGAAAGTGTGTGCAAGAACTCCACAAATGCAGCCTACATTACATACTACAGCCTATAATACATTACAGCACAATACAGCACAATGTTTTACCCAGATAAAAATCTGCAAAAATCGTATGTTGGCATGTGAAATGATCCTAAATGTAGCCAATACATCTAAGACTGTTAACATCTCTGACATGTTAAGCTTGTTGAGAGCTTATTAAATGAAAATTTGCTTGTATCAAGAAATACACTAGAATCAAGCTAAATCTTTCATCAATACAGTGAGATAATTTCACTGAATAAATGATAAAACAGGTAAAATACCAAGAAAATCTCATAAGAAATATCAGACATATAGACAAAGACAATTTCACTTGCCAAGATTTTTGCAGCACATTCACAGTACTACTATGGATACACAGTAACACAGAAATTACATGGTGCAAATCCCGCTAATGAAGCACCAACACCATGACAGAGTTTTGTTTACTTGCCCAGACAATGTACTTTTGCTGTTGTTTAAGTGTTTAACACTGTGAGAGGTATTTATTTGTTTTAAGTTATATGCTTATCTATAAGTGGCTTTTTGTTTTGTTATTTATTGTGTTTGATTTGTTGCTTATTATTTAAAACTATGAATTTCAGATCTGAATTTAAGTTTAGTGAATTTGACAAACAGGAACTAACAATCATATCTGAAGGTCACAAACACTAAAGCACACTAAAGCTGCACTGTGTAAGTTTTGGGGATTTGGAGACCTCTCTGGTGGAGCGGTGTAATTGCATGCAATGTGCGGAAGAACATATTGTAAGTTACAAAATCTGAACCGATGACTTTGTCTTCGAAATTTTTATTTCACACTTTACAGGGCGACTCGGAGCACCATGCACATGTTTTAGTGCTCTGTCTCTACTAACTCAGTAATGCTATTTCTTACATTTCAACAAAAAAACAACCAAAAAATTTTAAAAATCTTAAAGTGCCGATTTTTGACTGTATAAAAATTATACAGGCACATGTCACTGTACCTATGTAGTACTGTGCCTGTTTTCATATCAATTTTCATATCAAATAGACAAAATCATTACAATTGTATTGTAATCAAGTACTTAAAGCAGTGATATAAAGGTTTCAGTTTAGTTTATTGAAAACTCCATTGTTGAGTTTAATAAAATGACAAACCCTATATAGACTCAATTGCATGTTTAAGTATTGTTACTCTACTAAAATAATGACTCAAAATGTAGATTTTTTAATATATAAAAAATAAAATGAAACGTAGACTAGAAAAAAAATAGTCCCCTATAGAACTGCAGTGGAACGTCTTAGCATCTATCAGACAGGAACTGGACTCTCTGAGGCTCTACTCTTCTCCTTTCGGATCCTTATGGTATTAAAGAAAATGATGAACCTCAAATGAAGAGAAAGAGAAGTTAAACTAACCGGTCCAGTGCACGTTAGACCATCATCCTCTGCTTTCTCACACTGAGCGTCACACTCCAGACACATGGAGCCATTAGCAAACTCCCGCACATCCCTGAGAGAGAGAGAGAGAGAGAGAGAGAGAGAGAGAGAGAGAGAGAGAGAGAGAGAGAGATACATTAATATTATTTTTGCTTGTAGAGCAAAAGTCATTGTATGTATAATGTTATTCCCTCATTTTGAATTTGTTGTTTTTTTTGTGTAAAAGGAAATAAGGGCAGGAATGTTTTTCAGTTTCATATTGGAATTATAGACATTTGTTGTCATAAATACTATTTAAATAGGAATCATACAGTTAAAATATGATATTATTGATTAACATTATATTTGTAATTATAATTATAATGGATATAATTTATTATAACCCACAGGTTCACGGCAGGACATACTTTAGTACATTTCCATGAAAGATTACAAGAAAACAAGACCTTTAAAATAATATAATATGGTGAATCATGCTTAATGTGACCAGTGACATGAATTAACAAGGTAAAAAGGTTAAAGAGACACATAGATGGCTCACAGGTACAATAACTTGGCAGGGCTTGACTGTTCAGGAGGGTCCAGACATCATTTATCAAATATGTCTTCCACTCTGCTGTTATTGTATTGTTTTATATTAAATCATTTTCAGCCTGGCACATGGGAATCTCTTGTGTTGTGACAGTGTGGACCACAGAGATCCACAAGACCAGCAACAGAACAAAACATGTTAAGTTTATCCAAAATAAAACCTTTTGGGATGGTGGCATTAAGTAATAAATACACTGGCTTCCCAGACATGGATTAAGCCAAATCTTGGACTAAACTTCAGTGTCAATGGAGAATTATCATTGCATATTATTTTTCCATGCATAGGTTTAATCTGGGTCTGGGAAACCAGCCGTATATGTCCGAAAGTATCCAGATACCCCTTTTAGTGAATTCAGGTACTTTAGCGAGCACCTACTGCTAACACAAGAGTTCAATTGTGCATTTACAGCTTGTATAACCTCCAGAGAAAACATGATCAACAGAATGGGACACTCTGGAGCAGCTGCACATGAGCCTATGGTCACCATGCCCAATGCCAAGCATCGTCTAGAGGGGTATAAAGCCCCCGCCCCCATTGGTGTCCCTTTTAATACCCTTCATTTCAGAAGAAACTCTGAGCTGGTGGCTACAACATCCTTCTAGGTCTATAGACAAGGCCTAATGATTTCTGGGAACCACACAAAATACAATGCCAATAGTTTAACAGGATCATGCTTGTATTTAAACTCTACAAATATTACAGTACTACCCTTTTTTTTCTTTGGATTTTTCCCCAATTTTCTCCCCAATTTAGTCGTATCCAATTCCACCCACTAGTTAGGACTCCCCCAATCACACAATACCACCAGCGCTAGCAGGGCGAAGGCTAGCACAGTCTTCCTCCGAGACCCGGTGAAGCACGACCTCATCTTTACGAACCGCCAGTCACGCTCAGAGGAGGAGCCAACCACCAGATCTGTTATGTCAGCTAACAGATGCCTGCACTGGCTAGCATAATGCTGAGTGATGGGGGGAGATGGAGGGGGGGCAACTGTTACAGTACTACTCTTGTTTCATTGTTAAGTTTTGGATAGAAACAATAGAGCTGAATTCTTGAAACATCCAGCGAAAGACTGGCCAGTACCAAAATCAATAACTGTTTTTTTCTGCAGTAGATACAGCTAAGTGAGCCCTCCTATTGGCTTGGACTTCAGGAGCTGAAAAGAAGGTCTAATGCATCAGATTAACCATCAGAATAAATATAAAGTGACAGAAGAATCAACCAATCATGCTTTCCAAAAACTGGGAACAGTTTTATGAGAAAGACATCACTCTATGCAAGATAAAGATAAAATAAGGTAATATATATGCTAATATGTCTGTCACAAGCATCAAGTAAAACACAGAATGTCTTTCAGAAGCTTCAAATGTCTTTTAAATCTAGAACTGTCAAAATATGTTCATATATGTTCAATATGGTGGCTGGATTTGGGCATAATTTTATTTGTCTGCTGCTGGATTTGGGTTATAAATTTGGTGTTGTGGGTTGAGTTGGGCTTGGCTACAGTGTTCTCAGGCTATATTTGGGTTTGGTGCGAAATGTCAGCCCCAATTAAATCTCCAACAGGTGCAGACAAACACAGCACAGAGGTACAAATGCAAGCAAACATACTTTCTAGAAACTAATCAGCAATTCCCGTTACAAAGGAAACAGCAAAGACTCAATCATCTGCTCAATGCTAGTCACTGCCAACTCACTTTTCAAATCCAGTTACTGTTGACCACAAACATCCTGCTTTCACTACAGACTAACAATCCATCAAATCCAATCAGAAGGCCTAAAGACAGCGCACCAATTCTGCAATCCATCAGAGAACAGCAGTCACCCATGTGATTTAAAGCAAGCTAGTAAAACCCATTCAGCACTCCAAGAAAAGGTGCTGGAACTTTAAGCAGTGACTTCCATTTGAGGAAAGAAATGGATGGAAATCTGTCACTGATACGGTAAGGAACTCCTCCAAAGACAGGAAAGGTGGGGAGGGGGCAAGGAAGACAGAAAGGCAGAATGAGAGACAGAAAGAAAGACAGAGAGTGAATGAACTGGCGAGCGAGTGAACAACTGCCATGTGGTTCAGTCACTTTCTATTAAACCGTGCCTCGTCTCCACAGGGGAGCAGTGAAATAAGAATTAATTATTCTTTATCAGAGAAGCCCAAAGCATGCTGGCTGGCCTTGATGTAAGGCTTGGAAGGGCCATGTTATCATTTAGAGCCTTTACTCTCCTCCACATGCAGAGACGGACTTCAAAAGCTCCATAGGGCAGTGCTGCTTTAGTCCACTCTCTCCCAGCCCTGACCGCTTAATGAAACAGCGGGCTGCAACTCAAAAAGGCCCCTTGGACACACACAGCAGTAATACCACCACTTCTGTTTTCTGATCCATGAAGAACTGGGGTGATCATTCTAAACTGAGAATATCCACCTTCTTTGCAGATCCACCATGCTGGTATTCAGGGAGAGAGTGTAGGCTGTGCACAGTTTGTGTTAGCCCTTTATCTCTGACAGTGCTGGCTCTGGCCTTTTGGGGGCCCTACGCAGGATTTTTTTGGGGCCCTCCCATCTGGCTAGGTGCACAAGCTGTCTACATATCACTGCTGTTGGAAGAAAATATCCAAAACGATAACTTTACAGCAGAAGGAAAAAACTTACTTTACTTTTAATGTAAGTCAATGGAACCAGACGTCTTTCCAAGTCATTTTAGGTCATTTCTTTTAGTCTATTCATCAAGAAATTTACATACAATGTAATAATAATAAAATTTTATTTGATGAGCGCCTTTCAAGACACCCAAGGATGCTGTACAATAAAAATAACAAAGATTAAAAAAAAGGGCAACAGGAATTTTCAAATTATGTCACAAACTGAAAAACACCAAAAATGGAGATACAAGGTTTTCTTCAGACCACAGCGATATAGAAAATCTGTAAATTGGCTAATTTTGGCTAATTATTGCTGATGACCGGATGCTCGTTTAGGGTTTTAATAAGTTACGTTTAAATTACGTTAACCTTTAAATGTGTTAACCTTCTCAGCATTCTTGATTCAGGGGTCTGTCCCCCAACTAGGGGTGGGCGATATAGAAAAAACTGTATATCATGATACATCATGAAATTATTACAATATGCTATATGTATTATGATATTTTGATGCCGGCAAAATATGCCAGCAATGCCACATTTCAAAACTGCAATCAAAATCATGAATAGAATGTTTCTTTCCCACAATTAACATACTGTGCAGCACTAAATCCAATTAAACAGGACTAATTATGCTCCCAGGGCGGCACGGTGGTGCAGTGGGTAGCGCTGTCGCCTCACAGCAAGAATGGCCTGGGTTTGATTCCCGGCCGGGTGACCAGGGTCATTTCTGTGTGGAGTTTGCCTGTTCTCCCCGTGTCTGCGTGGGTTTCCTCCGGGTACTCCGGTTTCCTCCCACAGTCCAAAAACATGCCGTCAGGCCAACTGGACATGCTAAAATTGCCCCTGGGTGTGAGTGTGTGTGTGGATGTATATGTCTGTTTGTCTGCCCTGCGATGGGCTGGCGACCTGTCCAGGGTGTATCCTGCCTTCCGCCCGATGACAGCTGGGATAGGCTCCAGCACCCCACCGCGACCCAGAAGGATAAGCGGTTTAGATGATGGATAATTATGCTCCCTTTGTAATGAAGCATGCAGCTGGTCAGTGTTCGTTAAGTACAGACTATATCCATGATAAGCTCAGAAATGCATACTTTGTTTCACAATAACAAAAACATTACAATAGCGATGAAATATCATCATATCGCCCAGCCCCACTCACAACACAGTACTTCTCACTTACCCAGCTAACTTTAAGCTTAATTTAATCCAACTCAAACAACAACTCAAGTTATTCTTTTACCGTTATAAGTGCTTTACTTTCTACATGTTTTTGTTTGTTTTTTCGCTTCTTTGCCGACTCCTCCTCATCTCCACATCACACATTCATGTGCACGTGTGGGAGGATTAGTCACAGCCTGAGTATCGAGACCTGGATTAACAGATACAGTTGTGTGAGCTGACTATGGGTGTGTCTCAAAACCTAGTGAGCTCTCTACATAGACAGGAAATAGCCTATACTTTCCGCGTTTGACCACAACTATTGTCTATTTTGCTGTTTCATTCAGAGCAAATACAATCAAAATCGCTATATAAACCGCCAGAGCAGATCCATGTTGGCTAACTGTGATTCTGACGGCTGACGTAAGTAAACGCCGGTCTCGTGCAGTGGGCGGGAACAAGCGGCGACGTCTTTGCTGTCTAACTAGAGCATCTCATTTATCTATCTTATAAGGACAGACGACGGTTGGAACGCTGCCTACTTAGACAGCTGCCTAGGTGGACAGCGGCTACTTAGAGAGCTCACTAGGTTTTGAGACACACCCAATGTCTGTTTTTGTTGTGAAGCTTAATTTCAGTCAGAAAGCCTAAGTTGGACCTGCTTCAGTAGGCAGACCCCAGATCCAC